ATCGCTGAACATTCTGTGATGAAACTTAACAATTTTAGATAAAACAAGGTCTGGAGTGATCAATCATATATGTTGTTTGAAAAACATGCTGATATTTTTTTATTAATTGGAAAGTTATAAAACAAATGGGTCTAATGATGTTTTGAGCAAAACTTTTTAGTTTGTAATTTTACACAATAAAGGTAATTAATTACTGTACCATTTGTGAATACCGTTGAATCTTCACGAATAGACAGATGATAGGAGTGCTAGGAGTAAACGATGCCACATTTTAACCGAAATACATGCAGCAAATATGATAATAATTATTTTTAGTTACACAAATCATTTTAAGGTTTTGTGCAAAATCAATTTTAACATTTTAATTATTTCAACGCCGTTATAAAATACATAGTGAGCGCTAAAAAATATGATAAGACCTGTTTTACGTAGAATTAATAGATCTTCAATTTTCACTGTAACCTTTTTTCCATAATAATTAAACTACTTGCCAAAAGATCACTGTTAAAGATCTGAAGGTGTTTTTTTTGTTTACGTACTAAGTACGTGGACAAAGACGCGCGTAAAAGCCAGTCCCTCACATTATAGGAGGGGCCCATGTTCAGCCGTGGACTATTATTAAACTGATGATGGTGATTTGCAGAAGACTGCCATAATTGACTGACTGGCAAATTGATAATGACTACACGAGACGTTTCGTATTTTCGACTGATGTTTTCTAGATATTATTATAATGAATTCTTCATTGAAATCGTTAAGACGCTATATTTCTCCTAAACAAAATGTTTTTACACCTGCAGTATGAAATAGCTATTAAAATGATGTCATTATATATATATATATATATATATATATATATATATACATATATATATATATATATACGTATCGTCCGTAATCTCTGAAGGAGTAAGCAGAGCCCGATGGGCATTGAGCCACTTGGACTACGTTTAGCCAAAAAAGTGGAAATATAGATGAAAAGATGAGAAAAAATAGATTTTATGCGTGGTTGAGCCAGGCTGCAGTTATATTGGTAGTATAGTTGTAGAACAAATGAGTCGGCTCGACCGGGGAAGGACCACTCTCTCACGGAATACCAGCGTAAAATATTAACTTAATGCTGCTGTGTTTCGTATGGTGAGTGTAGAGAACCGCATACCCTTTTTACTAGAAACGAGGCATTTCATCTTACTCCTCACGGGTGACAACGCATCTGCATTTTTATTCGTAATCAAGGATACATTTATCCTTGATGTCTATGAGCCACAGTAACCACTTACCATCAGGTGGACTTACCATCAGGTGCTCGTTTGTCACCCTATCCTATTAAAAAAAAGTGATAGGTCCCACCCAATATTCTATTAGCTGTCTCTTTTATAAAAATCTAGGCATGTACTTAGATAAGAGTTACACAGTTCGCAAATTCTGATGTTGTAATTTGTAATTTATGTTGTAAGTTTTTGTATGTGAGTTCTACATAGACACAGGACCTAAACCGTTACCGTTACAGGCTAATTAATTTCACTGATGAACACGGGCCTCCCCCATAGCACGGTAATTTTATCTATACCCATAGGTAGCTTCATATGGGGCATATTTTCCTTATTTGTCACGCAACCGTAGTGTTTTTATTTCCAGTCATTATTAGGAAGATGCTGCTGCCCATCTCCTGATTTGTTTACCTCTGTCGCCTCTTACGACACCCATGGGATGATATGAGGTAGTGGAAATTCTTACACCGCCAATACACGGTATTCACTTACTACGGTACCTACGTACTACACTGTAACATATAACCTATAACTATCTAAGTGTTTTATTTAATCAATCTTTATATCTAAACAACCATCTCTGACGTTCATTCAATAACGCTGATTATGCTATCAGAAGTCTGTTTCCCTTTCAAAAGAAGTAGCGATTAATGGATTAAATTTTCTAGTGTAAATCCCTGATCGGTCAAGCGATCAATCATAAATCATATTACAATATAATATGATAATACGTGATTACAGGTGCAAATGAACTTTAATAATAATTATTGTTATTATAAAAGATCATCGTGCGTCACGGAAGTGTATGCGTGCATGTGTGCGTACGAGTTTGTGTGCTAGCGGGCAACGATTACCTGTGCGTGTGTGTGGGTGTCTGTGCTCTGTGTTTGTGTAATCAATAATCATGCGTTTGAACGTCTCTGTATTTTTAACACACTCCGGCTCTTTATATTATCATTCATATTATTGCATAGGATTATACCAAACCTTCTCAGACTACACAGGCCTTAATATAAGGGGATATTTTATACTATCGTCAAAATTATTGTTAGCTGTTAATACGTTAATACCGCCATCTAACGGAAACCATGAGAGTTTTCAACGCGTAATCCGTAGTCGCCTCTTACGACATTCAAGGAACGAAATGGGATAATGGATCTCATTAACGTTATGTAACTTTATTTACTTTAATGGAACTTTAAGGTGTATCCAACACAAATAAAAGTGTTATAGGGACGAGTGAAATGGTCTCCACTAAGCAAGTGCATTTTACCGACTAAGATCACTTGCCATCATGTGGGAACGTAGTTTAAACACCAGATCCTTATTTGTAAAATATATATAAGTACCACTAGAGGACATCACTACAATAATATCGTGGTGGCATAAGAAATTTCATCACTTCAAGTTGTCCCGTGGTTCTGAAACTAGAAGTTCTCACAGCCTTCGATAGATGGCAGTATTAGAGGTGTGAAATCCATTGAGTTTACGACACTAGAGGAGCAAACCACAATACCGCGCGTCGAAAAAAGTGTAACCACTATCCAAACGCGACGACGTAGCTTTGACACTAATAACAATTTTAAGTAAACATATATCTATCTCACTTACACAAGTTGCTAAAACAATATCGTCGCTAAGATTAGATAAAGATAGACACACAAACATGCAATGGCGGGTTGGTGTGGCTTACTATATGAAATTTTACCTAAAACACGCAATAAAAATGAGTTTTTTTACGCTGCAGTTAATTGTTTTTATATTAAAAAAAGTATTTTTATTTTAAAATCTTTATTACTTCCCCTTAGAAAAAAAGGATACAAAGCTTATCGCGTACTAATATAAAATAGGTTATAAATATAATTAATATAAAATTTATATGAAATTATAAATAATATAAAATTATTAATATAAAATATGTAATAAAATATATTTATAGATAATTCATGAATAAACTAAAATAAGAATAATTAATTATTTTGTATGAAAGTTAAAACGTAGTTTTTATTATAATTTCCAAAATATTTAAAATCAAAGGTAACAAATTAACTTACTCCATTAATTATATAGTCTCCCAATTATGTAGGATAATCACAAATGCGGAAAAGTAGCAACATTGAACCTAAATGGCAATATTCGATAATTTTACTTAATTATTTGAGGTTTTTTACGTTTATATGAAAACAAGAACTAAAAATTATGTGTTGAAAGTGATTCCGCTTGATTTATTACGTTTTTGTGACCTTGAATAGCATTCTTTCACTACGCATTTACCCATTTTTGTCGCGGCTCAACTCTGTCGGCGTCACATTGAACAATGAACTCACGTTAGCTAGGCATATGGCTGTGGCCATATGTGCAGTGGCAACGCTTTGGCGCGGTTATTACTGATCTAGTGTTATATAAATCAAATGAAATCTATCTGTTGTACCCCATAGCAGACATCCCACTTGTCAAGCGTAAATATTTATATTGTCTATTATCGAACTTTTTACGGGCTAATAAGTTTAAAATACATGGTGTTGGTCGCCTTCCTAATATCGACTAAAATACAAAACTGCGGTTACAAACCCATTTTCCAAGCGTGGCAACCATGGTGAATATCTCCCCTATGTGGCAATCTATGGGAAAGGCCTATGTTCAGCAGTGGACTTTAGTAGGCTGTATCGGTTACATAATTTTGTGTTTTCACTCACACAAACAATATTTAAAAGTTACATAATTTTGTGTTTTCATTTACACAAACAATACCTATTTAAAAGTTACATAATTTTGTGTTTTTTACTCACACAACAATATATAAAAGCTATTATAACCGGTTTCAGAAAACAGCTGGCTCTGGCCGATTCTACCGCATCTATGGGCGAACACAAACAATCCGTCGGAACTGTTCCAGTACTTAGATGAAGCGATAAGCATGTCACCGCATCCGAACGCGCGGTCGCCGCTTTACTCAGCTATGGCGCAAACTACGCCTACAGTGCTCGACATACTTTTACTGCGTGGTTCGCTGCGAACGAACGCTGACGCTGTTAACCGCAATGTAACCGCACGCCTTGTTACCCACTGGCGGCAACAAGCTAATATTGTCTGCACCGATTTCTTCTTGGCCAATGATGTCATCGACCTCTCTATAGCTCTTAGCAACGAGCGCGGAGCTCGATTATGACGACGAGGCACTCGCCCCCGTAAAGGAGGTCTCCGGGTAAATAGGTCGCAGCGAGGTCACACTTCGTTATCTGCCCGTCGCTCTCCTTGGCTTCCACATCGGAACCGCTCCAAACCGCACCGTCATCTATTTCTACACGCCAATTTACCTAGTTAAATAATGATCAGAAGAATCCTTAGTAAATAGTGAACAACAGTACATTCTATAAGTGCATAATAAAGAATACAATAGTGAGATATTCTATAAGTGTTATAGATATTAATAGATAGCAATGAACTAGTCAGTTTTTCCTCTAGTAAGAATGATTTTTACAGATTGCGTAGGTTGTACGAAATACGGTCAAATATTAATATTGTAGTGTAATTTACATTTTTGTGGAGAAAAGGAAGAACAAATAAAAGATAAACCTATTAAAATACCTTTCTTTTACTTATATAAATAACGATACCAAAGTATCAGTATTAATAAATAATAGCTAAACGTATAAAATACTTGTACTTGTAACAAAAACGAGGTAGATTCACTGTGCAATAAAGCACTTAAAAGTAAACAGAATGGAGTCATGTATGTGGAGCCAGAAGTGGCAACAACTCGGCGCGACTCATGCGCGCAAGTTGCCGGGCGTCGAGTCCCATTGCGGCGGCTGCTCCTCGAACGTCCAAACCGAAACTTTGAAGCAACGCCGCCAGCGCTACTTCTTCTCCGGTCCGTGGATCACGAAGCCGAGGACACGAACCATTGCACTGCGGCCACGAGCATCTCTCGATAAGTCTTCGCGGCGCACAGCGCACTCTTTGTTGATTAGCTCCAGCTCCTACTTCAAATCGCCGCTCCCAGCAAGTTATCGCTCGTGGTAACGGCACACCAGATACATTAATTGCTAACCACTCGGGCCGAGCGAACGCGCCATGCGCTATACAAGCTGGAGCGAATGTTGCTCTTACAGTCTTCAAACTCGATCGTAAAGCTGCACCAGTTTGATGTACAGCATCCCATTGTGCACGCGTTCTTGGTGCACGCACACCTTCCGCTGTGAGTTGCGCAGAATCAAAGAGATATTGAAACACGAATAGGGGAGTCCGTATATGAGGATACAAGCGATATCCGAAGTAACACAACCACGGTTTGTCAGGATACTCCCGCATGCAAGATGTTGGTGGTGACCCGCGCCAGAAAGAGTGTCCCAATCTGGCAACAGCGTCAGTTGAGGATGAGTGTTTCGCTTTCGCTGGTCGATCTAAAAACCATCCAGAATCAGCAATTGCGGCTACTCGAACTCCATATGGCCGAAGTGCTCTTCTTGCTGCATCTGCGTTTAACATAACACCGGTTCCACCAGCGCTCGATCCAATTAATAATAGTCGGCCAACTAGCCCAATCTGAAGAAGATCGGTAAGAACTGAACGGACAATGAGGCGGCCGGCGAAGCTAAAACTACTGTTCACTCTTGGTTTAATACGAGTTCCGGCCCACATATCGCTGGAGCAGTAAGGCAGTAGGACGTGATTTGATGTATGCCATAATGGGTTGATGACTGGATCAGCGGATAGCACGGCGGGAGCACGACGTGCACGAGGCCATCTCGTAGATGACATCAAACCAGGACGCCGTCGCCAACGAGCATTGCAAGAAGCCGTGTCCCAGCAGTAACCACCCCCCTCCAAATATAGAACCCAATGTTGAGTGTTGGTTCCGCGCCGAAAATAATAGCTGAAATGTTAATAAAACAAATCTGAGAAAATTAATTATATAATGTCCTCCAGACCAAATTTCGGTCACGGCGGCCAGTCTCAACGGAGACTAGTCATCGGCGCAGGACAGGATTATAGTGCTCAAGTGTATGCGCAAACACAGGTGCACTCTCTATTCCCTCACCCTCATAATCCGATGGGACGGTAAACCGACACGACCGGAGAGAGATCGGGCGCAGGACCTACGGCTTTACGTGCTTTCCGAGGCACGGGGGTGAGACACCGCCAACTTCCTGACTCCGAGCAGCTACTGAGAATTTCTTGATGGAAAAACTCAATAATTGATTTTTTGGCTCGCCCGGGATTGGAACCCAGGACCTCATGATCAGCAGTCGCACTACTACAACCACTAGACCAACGAGGCAGTCATTATGATATATATACATATAACACACTATTATAATAACAGCTGTTGTTTCTTACCCAGCAGAAGTCCCATCGTTGCATGTAAGTGAACTGTTTGTCAACCAAGTGAGCCTCAAGCTGTCGCGCGTCGTTACACTTTCGCTGGCAGCACTAAATAGGATCTGAAACATACATAAAATTCTAATATCAAATAATCTAGATCTAGATTTTATAGTCGAAGGAGGAATTTTTAATCGTTTTGAACGGAAATGCTAAGTTATTACCATATAAAGATATGATTACATAAAACATAATATCTACCCCCTATAATCTATCGGGTTGGCTATATTCAGGGTGATACCTCGAAACTTTAGTGGTTTTTCTATTTCATATTTCTTTTATAAGTTTTATAGATTACGAACCAAGTTTTTGGTATATGATTTTTGACTATATGTTCTTAGATTTCATAAAAGAAAAACACGATGACATGTAATTTCTCAATAGAAAAAAATTGCAAAGTAGGCTCATGTAGGCATGTACATCTACCCTCGGTTACATTTAACCTAGATTAAGAATCAAAATGCAGATTCTTTGTCACCCTTGAGGACTAAGATGGAATGCCTCGATTCCATGTACATCTATCTTCGGTTACGAATGAAAAGCAGATGCGTTATCACTCGTGAGGACTAAGATAGAATGCCTCGTTTTCGGTAAAAAGATTCTCCGGTTCTTTACACTCACCATACGAAACAGCAGCATTAAGCTGCTATTTTACGCTGGTATTCTGTGAGAGCGTGGTCCTACCCCGGTCGAGCCGACCCATTCGTGCTACAACTATACTACTAATATAGCTGCATAAAATAGCAGCTAACGCTCCTGTGCTTCGTATGGTGAGTGTAGAGAACCGGAGAACCTTTTTACCGAAAACGAGGCATTCTATCTTAGTCCTCACGAGTGATAACGCATCTGCTTTTCATTCGTAACCGAGGATAGATGTACATGTCTATGGATCACTGCAACCACTTACCATCAGGTGGATTGCGTGCTCGTTTGTCACCGTTATCCTATAAAAAATGAATGTATGTGTATGTATGGCATGCGTCTATTACGTGGTGTACTGAAGGATATTATGACGGCAGTATAAGTGGATGTGGTAGCTGTGTATCTGAGCTTTACTTCTGATGGCAGAGTAGAGTAGCAGAGTATGGCAAATACTTGCCACGCTCGACAGACGGGTTGGCGACCGCAGCTTTTTTTTATTTTTAGTTGTTATTAGAAAGACGCTGCTGCCGACTTTTCTTTTTTTTTTATAGGATAGGGTGACATACGAACACACAGTCCACCTGATGGTAAGTGGTTGCTGTGGCCCATAGACATCTACATTTATCCTCGATTACGAATCAAAATCAAAACCTCCTGGTTTATTTCCCTTTGTCGTTTGTTCCGAAACCCATATGATGACATCTTGTAGTGGATAATCTTACACTGCCACTTCACGGTCGATAACTTGAGAGAAAAAATAAGTGCTGGAAGTGTAAACAGAGATATCAAAGCTCATTTTTATTTTCACCTCCCCTGACCAGATGTTTATATCATAATATGATATAGGTACTTTGAAGGTCTTGGATTCAAGAAACATTTGTTGCAAAACATACCACATAAGCCTAGTAAAGATTTAACTTAATTCTAGTCTTCTACTCTAACACTAACTACAGGTTCACCCGCGGTAATCCGACAAGTTTTTGCAAGGCGGTGTCGGATTATCGAATTTGTCGGACTATAGAGTACTGCCACAGCCGGTACTACATATAGAGTATCTTGTGATCCGATAGATTAGATATCAAATAAAAAATTGAAAAACAAAAATTCCATGTAATGCACAATGAATACCTAAACAGTAAAAAATGAATGCCCGCTAGGCCGCTAACATAGTCAGATTTGAAATGAGACAATACGCGTCAACCTACTGCAACCTGTTTGTCCAGGTATTCGCGAAGGACAGCTCCCCCGTGGCGGATTATTAGCGCGACTCGAATCTACCTACAAATTACACACATATCGGATTACAGCGGGGACGGATTAGCCAGGGGTCAGATTACCGGGGGTCACTGTATGCGTAAGATTTGAACCTTGGAATCACGACCCGATATAGACTAGTAAACACGGATTTATCATACAAAATAACATGTTTGAATAACAATGGCTGTAAACAGTGATTAAAGTTATTTTTTGATCAAATTAAATTAGCTCTGATTGTCTAACATCTTGTCTCTTCTGTTATTCTTGTTTCCTCTTCTTTTCTAACATCGTATCTCTCATTAACGTTTAAAGAAATGCCATTTTTCATTCATTAGGTTCTCTGTATAATTATCTTTATTTATGCATTAGGTATATAATAAATCACGTACAAAAATGTACAACTACATATTTGACAATTAAATTTAATAATCATATTCCACTTTTACGAGTAAAATAATTGGGTGAATCAACTATTTTCTGTAATTAATCAACTTTTTGTGTTAAAAAATAAACTTAGTGTTTTTAGTTATTTAACTTTAAATATAGATAACTTAACCATCTAGTTTTAATATTTTATGTAGAGCATCGAACTTTTTTAAATGCTATTAGGGTTTTTAACCAAGAATGTCAGAACTGACAACTTTGAATGTCTCTTGGGTAACGGACATATTATACAATATATCGTAAGTAAAACAAAACAGAAAAGATTAATCAGTATATTTATTTTTTATTAAAGTTTAAAGGAATTATTATAGGTCTTTGAAACTAAACAAATCAGTCTTATTCTTAAAATAATGACGTGCCTTGTTTCTCTTGGGTCACTGGTAAAATAAATCAATACAAACTTTAACTATAACTTTTTTTTAAATAACACATGTAAGCCAAACTAATACTATACTTACCGCCACTTATTCATCAACCATTATCTAAAAATAAAATATACCTAAGATATTTTGTTCTATTTCAATTGTCGAGAGATTCATTATAAAATTAGGGGACATTGTTGTTAGCCAGGAGACAAACTTAGTGACTCAAGAGACATAACGATATATCAACCAAAATTAAAAGAAAAATAATAAATTTAAAATTGTTAATAATATAAAAATTCTGTCAAAAACTCTGTCGTGTAGTCTCAATAAAAAATTATAATAAAAAGTCCAACAAAAAGCACAATCACAATAAGTAAAAATATATATAATAACGGAAACTTTAAAGTAGTGAAGTAAATAACTATTGCCAAATCACTTCTCTAAAACGTGTACATTATATTCAAATATGTAATACTGTTGGCCTCTTTCGGTAGTCGTTTTATGCTCAGCTAGAATTTATATTATGTCAGTGTAGTCGATGTCAGCTACGTCACTCTTTTCGAGACGAAATGTGTTTTGTGAAATTTGAATCTTCGTGCAAATCATCGACTACACAAGCATATTTAAAAATCTTACCTTTTGTGGCATGAACGTTTACTAATAAAAAGTCCATCTGTCTCACCTCTTGGTATTCTCTTTTTTGTTACAAAGTTGTGCTGTTGAACTTTTTGGTTTTAGAGATGTCATCACTGGCTCATCATCAGAAGTTTCAGGTGTTTTATAAACCAGTTGAAACCAATTCTTGTTGTGAGCTTGGCATAATTCTATCAACCCGATTTCTTTAAATAGTTAAAATAAGCATTAGCTTTGACTTTCAACTCCTTATTTGTCCGATTATTCCCAGAGATTCTTTAACTATTACTTTTTTTGCACAGTCATCAACACTTTCAAATATGTCTTTCAGTATTTTCTTATCTTTGTGTTTCTTTGTTTTTTCTTTCTTTGAAAACACCGGATAGCTTTTTGTACTTTGTCATTTCATCAGCATTGTCATTTGCTTTTGTTTCATGTTTGTTTCTTTGGCAACGTTTTTTCTTATTTTTCGTATTTTTGTTGTAGTTTTTCATTTTCTTTCCGCAACTTTAAATTATCCCTATATAATTTTGATCGATTTCTCCTAATTTTCTGTAGTCATTCACTCTTCCTTGATACATTTTTATGTGGAAGCATATTTTGCGGACTATTAATACCAGATATGTCCGTCTCGTCATTGTTTCGATGCGGTGAATTTTGAAAAGCACCATAGCATCTGCTTCAGGTATCAATATAGAAGAAGAACTTAGAGGTGTTATATCATCAAGAAGGTGATTTAAATTATTCCTGTTTTGTCTTAAGTTTTTCTTCCTAAGTCTCCAAGTTGTTCTTGCATTATATTTCTCTTGTGGTGTTAAGTCTTTGATAAATCTCTTTTTTTGTATGATAATTCACTAGGTTTTTTTCTTTTATATTCTTCGTACTTTTCAGAATTCAGTTTGAGTTTTTCTTTATATCTACTCTGCCTTTCGGCGGCTGTTAAAGGCGTATTTACTGAAACGAATTAACTTACACTAAACCAAAACAAACCTAATAATTAACATGAAAATACTTTACAGAGAAAACGGAATTGGTAATTGAACATTGAAATAGTATGTAAATATTTATTAAGGAAACTTATACGTTATCATATGTAAGAAAATGCAAGATGTCTCTTGGCTCACAAGAATTGTCTCTTGGGTCACTCGTTTTGTGACTCAGTGGAACTGTGACCCAGGAGAAATAATACGATTTTTTACGCTTTTTCTTAAGAAAAGTTTCGATAAATTGATAATTACATATATTAGAGGAATTACAGATTTAAAACTTAAGAAATTAGTTTGAAAGTAACGTAATAAAATATTATCTAAATAAATATTACGACGTCAGCCAGCGGAAGCACAATAAACACACGCATGCACTTTTGAAGTCACGGACGAAATGGTCGAGCCAAATCACTGCTATAGTGTAATTAGGTAGGATCGTCCGAAGTACAGAACTATTTCCTATTAGCTAAGCCACTCACATGCTATCTCTCTCGTATTTTACAATGTTTTATGCGTGTGACCCAGGAGACGCGTGTTCTACTGCTATCGTGGGGACATAAATTATGATTTTAATTATTATACCGAAAACTAAACTTAGGGATCCATAAAAAGAGACAAAGAAAGAAAGCATGTAGTATTTAATTTTCATCGCAAAAGTTCATTGCATCCTCAGGAAAAAAATATAAGTATCATTGCTAGATACCAGGCCGACACTCCGTGGGGACAGGATGAATTTGTATGGGAAGACTATTTAGTCCACTGGGTCACGAGTTTTATTTTTGGATTTTTGAGTATAACTGCAGCTAAGTATTAATTCAAATTAACTACGAAATATCTGATTTTATAACTGTACTAAAATTAAAGCCTTAATACTCAAAATGTAACTTTTTAATAATTTATACTATTGGGGACACGTTTTGACAAAAAAAGTTGATTCACCCAATTCCATTATACATACATTTAGTCCAGGAAGAATGGGCATGAGTACCGAAAACTATTTCACCTCAATTTTTATGTGATTCCCTTCAAACTCTCCTACTGTTGATATAGATACACGTTGCCATGGGGCAACTCGGTGCCATATTGTTTAAACCGATTTTTTTCAATTGCATGGAATTGCTGTTTTCATACGGGACTTCTTTTTATATTCTTTGATAAAATACGAATATTAACCCACTTGTTACTACCGTCCTTTATAACGCCACTAATTGAATCATAAATGTACCCGCCAAATTTATATGTTCAATGTTGTATTAAACAAATATCGTCTTACATTACCGTCATCAGAAACGGTCCGTCTTTAATGTGCACCTACTATTTGTCACAGTGCGTCCATTATTTTGAAGTTAAGACGTGTTTCAAATTAACAGTGTGATTGCTTTGCGACATGGCTTCAAAAAGGTATAATTTTTTTTTAAATATACTTATAAAGTTTTAAACACTACAACGTAGAATCCCGTAAAGAACTGTTATTTTAATATAAATGTAACATAAAATAAACTTGAATTTCATAGTTTTTCATGAAAATTGTCTTATGTAAAAACTTGTGGCGTTATAACGCCCGGTAGTAAAATTGACGTCTATTTATTATTACTATTATGTTTTAGATCACTGACGAAACGACCTTTGAATCTCAATGACATAGTTGATGCATTACACAATATAGATTCTGATGACGATCTGCCCAGTGAAATTACCATTTTTCCACCGGAAGATCCAATTAACGAAATAACAGACGAAGATTCTGGTGATGAAGAATTTGTGGCATTACATAATCTCCCAGTTTGGTTATTTCTTTTGAGCATATTACGAAATTCATTTCAGTCACTGTACTCACAATCAATTGTATAATGTATTTATTGCTTCTCAGGTTCCAGAGCTCCAGCAGAGATTACTTATGATGATACGTTTTCAGGCAGTAACGATTCTGAAAATGATTTATCTTTGTCTGTGTTAGCAAAAAGAATACGCAATGCCAATGAATGCTTGCCAGAAGATTTGGATCAACAGATATCTTCTACTTCTTACTCCACTCCATCTACTATAAGCTGTTCATCGATGAACGTCACTCTTAGTGTAAGCAAAACGCAACAGTATACGTGGCACAACAGGCACAATCCAAGTGAATTTACACAGTGGCAGGATCGTGAGGGCTCAAAAAATCTACAGTCACCTTTGTACTACTATGAGTGTATGGTGAATGATGAAATAATCGAAATTTTTTTACATTACTCTAATCTTTACGCAAGCCACAGGAATTTCATCGCTAATAACTACTTCAGAAATGTATTTTGGGTATACTTTTATACAGCGGTTATGTCGTGGTACCACACAGGTATATGTATTGGGAGAAATCTTCTGATACTCACTTTGATGTTGTTTATAATGCCATGTCTAGGGATCGTTTCACAATGATAATGAAACACTTCATTGCTGTGACAACAATGTCATTCGTACAGATAGTGATAAATTTGCGAAACTTAGGCCTTTGTTTGATTTACTAAATAAAATTTTCTCAGACATGGCACCTTTTGAACAAAACTATAGTATTGACGAAGCTATGGTACCATACTATGGAGGCCATAGTTGCAAACAATTTATACGCGGGAAACCAATCCGATGGGGGTATAAACTGTGGGTAGGTGCAACTAGGTTCGGGTATGTTTTTTGGTTTGACCCATACCAGAGACATACATATTACAATCGTGCTAGCCAAACACTCAATTTCATTTATTTTTTGATAACTTTTTTTCTTCTATCCCTTTTTTTTCACGAATTGAGTAATAGAGGATTGAAAGCTACAGGAACTATTCGTGAGAATCGTACCTCTAGATGCCCACTACCTGAAAACAAGCTTTTCAAAAAACAGAAAGGGGCACACATTCGTCTATAAGTCTAGTCAACCCAAACAGATCTTAGTCTGCAAATGGAATGTCAATAGTGTCGTGTCTCCTCTAATGCGGAAACAATGGAGAAACATAACCATTTTTTGTTTTATATGCCAAAAAATTACGAGAATAACTGTGTTTTTAATTTTGTTCTATCTTCAAAACTGACCGAGATATAATGGCGCAAAGTTAATATTTTCGGTCTAAGCCGCGATACGTAGTACTATTATTTATTCTGTGGCCGCGAGCCGAGCGCGACATCGTCGATGACGTCACGATTTCCATCTTCGTGCGAGTGACCCGATCCGACGCGCACTTAGAAAATCAAAAAATTTACTCGAATGTGCCCGTCGCGCGCGGATCTACTTGCTCTCTATTTTAACAAGAAACATTATAGAACATGACACCATCTATTAAATATTGTGCTGTGCCTCAATGTAAAAATACGGCCACAAAAACACCTGAAAAGTTGTTTTTTAATGTGCCTAGAAACCCTACCATCAGAAATAAATGGACAAATGCTATGAGAAGAACACATCCTTTAGGACCAAACACGGTAGTATATTGTTGTGAGGATCATTTCGATGTAAGTATTCAAATAATATTAACCTTCACATGATAGCTCTTGGTTATTGCTAGTAAATGCTTTCTATTAGGCATGAGGGTGGTTTAATCTTTGGACATCATGTCAATCAAAGAAACCTTAACAAAAATCATTTTACCCATTTATTGACTCTATTAACTATTTTAGAATTCTGAAACTTAGGTTATTACACAGGAATACAAGAGCACTTCAGTAACTAAATCACTTTTATTCCACATTGCATACATATTTTTTTAAGCATTTTAAAAAAGTGGTCCAATCATCGCAACCTTACCCTAGGTACCTACTCGAGTCGCAGTGTTTAACTAACGATTCATTGTACCTTTCCACGCTTAATGATTATTATAATTTCAAGAAGAAACAATACCTAATACTTACATATTTAACTAATACTGCTTCAGTGTAAATAAACATCCAAACTTGGGTAAAGTACCTATGTAATGTAGATAAGTCAATGACCTGTCGTGAATTCGTAAGTTTTGATATCTACCTATGTTTGCAGCAAATTTTAAAATGTGTGTAAAGCATATAAAGGTTAAAATATGGAATAAGTTAACAAACGTTTTTATATTTTTACGATATTTTAAACACATCGCAGAGCTGTCCAACCTTCACACTTTGCGGGCCGCAAATATT